TTTAAAGCGCCCATTGCGTTCGAAACGACCAACTTTTACTATGAGACGTGGAAGGCTGAGCCTTATGGTTAGAGGAGGAAGAAATGACTAGAGGCTTCTTGAAAAGTTTTCTTCGGCTCCCAGACAATACCTAACCATTTGGGCGCGGCCGCGGCGAACGCGGCCGAGTTGATAGGTGCCCGCGAACTCAGCACAGCACAGTTCGCGGGCACCTCGAGTGCGTTTTCAACGGTTCGCGGGCACAATCGACTCGGCCGCGTTCGCCGCGGCCGCGCCCAAATGGTTAGGTATTGTCTGGGAGCCCGTTTCTTCCACGGGTTCTCCCCTCAGGCTTAGTCCTTCGGAAGATTCACGTCCGACTCACAAAGGCTCTTCTCGCCATATTGTACAGAAAAAAAAGCTGCACACGAGAAAATCAAAGATGTGGTGTAAGAATGAAGACGCTGAAGCTCGTAGATTCAGAGGAACTCCTTCTGCTAAAATGGCATTAGTGTAGGTGCACCGACTCCTTACTGGATGAGACTCGACAGGAGTACTTCTCATGCCATTTTGGCGCCATTGGAGTTCTTTGCAGGTGTTGTAGCGTTTTAGATTCTCTTCTCCGACTAAGTCTGCTTCTTACTGTGATCGAAAGCACTATGATTCAGTTCTAAAAGTGTAACGAAATGACCTCATACTGCCTGAATGATTGTTTCATTTGCTGTAGTTTTGGTTTATTTAGTCGCTCACCGGAACACGGCTTTCGCAGTGCAAAAGTTGAGCTAAGATTTTTTATTAAGCCGAGCTCTTTCTCCAAGGTTTGATAGACTGTGAGATTAGTTATCAGACTCACTAACCATGAGATGAAATTTTGATTAGAAGGTAGTGATTCGGAGAGTGGGTGAATAGGCATGAGATTAGTCGTTTCTGTGGAAAGTCAATGCGTCAGGATCTTTTCGAGTCCCTATTCTAATGTTCTGAGCTCATAATATACCAATAGACTCGAAAATTTGGTGCACATTACCAACAACGCACTGAGCAACGTGTCGCGTCCATGAATCAAGCAAGAACAACGCGCTCCGCAGCGTAGACGCGACGCGACCGCCGAACGAACGCGAATGTTCACATTGGCGTTTAAGTTCTTCTGACTTCAAGTGTGACAGTCAACATCAAAATCTACATATGTGACGACATCTACAAGAGGTTGCAATTCATATAATGAGTGAGAGTTTTAAGAGAGGGAACCAAATACAAAGCACTGTAGAATAGATGAGATACGGAAATTGGCAGACGGGCCTTTATCATTGCTGACTTTTGTGGCCGTGTCGGTTGATGGCACAAAGCCAACAGTTGCTGTAGACATGTCCAAACACGTAATTTTCCCAGCCCTGGTTCGTAAGCGACTAACGAAGAGGAATTTCTAATTTTGGAGTTCTTTGGAGGTATTTCCTGCTTTTTTCTTTACCTTCGATTCACTTAGCACCCAGTACTTCATAGTTGAACAGGTGAGTCCCTCGTTTTATCCCGGAGTTTGCCTTTAAGTATTCATCAAAGAAATCTAGGAGTATAAAAGCGACTACTCGTTGCCCATATCATTTTGTTTTTTACATGAATTTTTCTTTCAAACGATGACTGACCGAAATTTCCGTGTGTACACGTGAATGTTCTACGACATCTTGAGGGGATGAATTTAGCTCACACGGTCACGGCAGGTCTTCGTAAACAAAAATCGACCTACATCAAACCGTGCATTGGCTCGGCGAGAAAGAAAAACAACGATTTCATAAACTCACTTCACGACGAAAAAGCTGCATTTTACGAAAAAAATCCAGCAAAAAAGTGCGAGACCAGGCTGAAACATTTCACTTCTCCGCCAAACAGCTCTGTCACACTCCATCTATGTGCTGCGCATCCGAGTCAACGCGGCACGTTTTGAAGGAGAAACAGTTCAGAGAGTACAAAAAATTCGGAATCTGGGTGTCCATGTTTACCTGCGCACAGTTGCTACGATTCTTCGAGAAGGACGTCGAGTCTCTGCGTGAGGAATGGCGAAGCCTGGCACAATAAGGTATCCATCTCTTTTCTGAGATGCCGAATTGTTGCTGTTCCAATAAATTTTGTGGTACGTCCAAAAGCGACATTTATAATGCAACAACCTGGTAAAAAGGCGCAACCCAGGCAGGAGATATGAAACCGATTCCCTTTGGTCTGTAGGATAGACCTCAGAGGACAATCACAGATGTGGCATTCCCGTGCACGGAAACCAACCGACAAGAGCGCTAGGGCCTTGCAAAGTAAGCTGCTGCAAGCTGCAGACTTTTTCTTTATCAGGCTGTTGTCTGGCACCTCTCATCTGTAGCGCTCTCTCGCCTCATACTCTCCTCTCTTAGTCTCTCATTCCTTAGCACAGCCGATTAGGAAGGTGAGTGAGCCCTTAACCTAAGCGTTTTTTGACGGATTCTTTTCCTTTTTTCTTCACTGCCGGCCCACTTCGCACCAATACATTTGTATTCGTGTGCAAGGAGCCACACCGATTCGATCCTGGGGATGGGGGGTATGCCTTTATGTCCTCATGAACATCCATGATGTAATCAGCCATGGTGGAAGTTCGGCGGCGATCGAATAGTGATCGAGTCAAAGAATAGCCCCTCTCAGTATAATTTTGCATTTGTAAGCAAATGCTCTTTGGATGTTCGTGCGTCATCATTGCGGGCACGTCTACGAGACACTATGCGCCAGCAGAGCAATGCGATGCAGACGGGGTTGTCGCAAAAATGAGTTACGATCTACGAGCTCCAGAGGCAACAAAGCTAGCACAATCTGCTGCGCTTTTTTCGGTTGCAAAAACGATCGTATAACTGTGCTCTTGCAAGTCTTGCAACCTCATTCACTGGTGGGATGCCATGCACATAATTTCGGCAACGATGTGGTTCACAATTCGTGGACACCCCAATATAAGTGGCCCAATACAAGCGCATGGGAAGCTTCCATTCCCCTCCGACAGCCAGGCCCGTCTACAGTACAAACGAAAAAAGTTAAAGACAGCCCACAAAAATCTGATAAAGGCTTGCATTTACCGGCAGCTGGTAGGAGGCCAATTATAGTTGTAATTGGTGACAATTTATAAAACACAACAGCATTTACTAATGACTCCATTGGCATGGAGCAATCACATTTTGCGGAGGCAGTCGTCACCTAAGGTGCTTACTGTGCTCTGCAGACACGCGATCGCTGTCAGATACAAGTGGTAGACATTCACTGACGTTCTTCCCCCAGGTGAACTCTATGTGATCCTTCCACTACCTTTTTTACATCAAGGAATATACTCATTATTCCTCGGTGAAGGGAAATGTGAACACTTTACATTAATGTGAAAATAGAAAGAAGAAATGTTTTAATAAAATTCATTTAACAGGCTAACGTCTACTGGCGGCCGCATTGATTGCTGGGAGCTCCTGCAGTTGGATAAATAGTTCCAATGTAGACCTTAAAACAGCACACTCATCAGTAAAGAAATGGGGGCCCGAAAACGAGACAAAAACATCTAACCTTGCCGTTCTGAATCAACTCGTAGCTGGTGACACCCATGGGGCATCCATCAAGTTCAACCTAGAAAAATCAGCGCTCAGCTGTTACCGGGAAGCTGCAAAGTTGTTCCTGGAATAACCTCGCATTGCTGGTTACCGCGTCGAGAGAGGAAGCACAACGTGTAGAGTGCCATATCGAACTCAGGAGATGTACCGATCATTATCGACCCTGATTTCTTCATATCACCTCTCCAGGTGAACTTCAACGAGGCCATGACGTACTGTAGCGGTAGAATGATCAATGTCAATTATTGGAAATGGCAAAGCATGGCAGATTCTTTTCTTAAGGTGGTTTTTGTTACAGTAATGTTCTTTCACAACTGGAAGGGCTCGATGAAAATCCTTCCAGGAATTGTAATGGAAAAAAATTTGTAAGAAATCCTCAGAAACTGCGACGCTATCGATTAGTTTTCTGTATGAGTATTGATTTGACGCGCGTCAAATCGATATTTGCTGGTCACATATGCGCGCTCGAAGCGCGGTGAATTCCAATATGACAATCATCCAAAGTAAAATGCTCTGAAATTCTCACTCCGCGTTTCACAATGAATCCTTTGTAGTCGAAGTTTTCGGTGGCGTTCCTCTCAAGTGTGTAGAATCGAACCCAGTTATGTAATCCAGAAACCTCTTTGTTCTTCTCCTGAACATTATCATATTTGAATGTATAAAGAAGGAAGCTGGGGATACAATAGAAGATCTACACAATTAGGGGCCCTCCCGGGTAGGCAATGAAGTTATTATGTTTATAATAGAAACAAGTTGAATCAAACTAATCTATTTATTATTATCTTGATTATGATGTTTAGACCGAAATTTTAACGATATTCTTCAATTTTTAACTATAAAAAACTATAAAAACTAAAGGCAAAACTATAAAAATCAATAAACATATAAGATTATGGCTCCAAGGCTAAAGACTGTAAGAGAACGCTATACTATGGTTATTCTTTGATACCAACGATAGAGAAAAGGAACTTTCAAAAATCTCACAAAATGCCATCTCCTTCGTCGGCGCATCTGAATACTTCTTATGAAGGAAGTGTGAACGGTAACTCAACAAGGTAGATATAAGGTTAGTACAAGCGGAAGTCAGGGTCTCAAGGAAGCTGGTACATCAAAGGGCACGGCCGCTTTGAAGTGGATGGGACCATCTCCGATTGGATGCCCTGGCAGGTGGTCCTCCTCCCTTGACGCCCAAGTTCCTTAGGTCGGGTTAGGTAGCTTGCGTCGAGTGTTTAGGGTCTTTAGCAGGACCGAACACTGTTCAAGAACTTATACTAGAAAAAGGATTGGATTGTCTAATTAATGGAGTTTCAATTAAAGGATTGTTTAATTAATCACCTCGCCAATAAAGACGTGCTCAAAACCGGACGAGTCGGCCACTCCACGAGCGCGAGAGTAGTGCATGAACCAGAGCTGGTAGAGCCATTTACCGAACACGGCGGGATTAGCGGCGAACGGATGCCCTTAACATGGAAATGCTCGGATACTAAAGAAAAGAAAAGAAAGAAAGAATAACCAAGAAAACTTCTTGACATACTTTTTTTATTCAGGAATTCATACACCTCTTTCATGGGTGCCGACTTGAGAACTGTAGACAGGAAAGCCATCGTTTCTCGCTCCTCCTTAAGTGTTCACTCGATTATAATAGTTAAGAAATTCAGCGTGACCGTCTCGCTGGCCACACCAGGACCTTGCAGGACAACTGTGTGGGTTTAAAGCTTGTTAGAACTAGAACCAACCTCTTGCTTTGATACACGGGGTTCAGCTCTACCGGTCTCTCGATAGAAGTTGTCGGTGAGCGCCAAAAATTGCTGATAGATTGTTTTTGTGAGGAGACTACCATCCACATTAGTGAAGAGTCTGGAATGAAGTTACGATCACGGATGTCCCTCAAGTAACCTCAAAAGATCAATCTTGTCCTCATTGATATTCTTCTGGGATACGCCATGAACTCGGCGTCCACTCAAAACCATGAAAGAGGGTAGGTACGCGTATTTTTTTTAACAGGCTGTCCAAAAATCAAAGTTAGAGCCCTTGGTCAGATCTCTACGCTCAAACTAGCTCGATAGCGTCATCAATCAGATAGAAACATTATCTAGGAGTAAGGCAAATCAAACAAGCGACTGCACGGAGCAAACGGCGGAAGTATTTCCCTATTCCATAGCAGGTTTAACTTTGCTTATATTCCAGTAATCCAAAAATCCTGTTCACTGTGGGCGATTGACTTCATTTTCAAGAAGTATACAGAAATCGCACAAACCTGTCGGCTGCGTTGTCCGTTGGATCGCCGGCCTTTGTGTGACCCTGGAAGTCGACTCTGAACCTGTCCGCGTTGAGCTTTGTTCGCATCGAGTTGGCGAAGTTTCCTCGATTCGGCCAGCAACTCCTCATTGCTGATGGAAAATGCTGGAAATTGATTTTTGCCGGTCACGATCCCTATCCTTTTTCAACACACCCACGGGTGGTAAGGGGGTGAAGACCATTAATTGCGTGCCCCAGGAGTCTGCCTACGCGGGTATCCCACATCTGTGATTGTCCACTAGCAGTCTATTGTACAGACCGGAAGGAATCGTTCACCCTGACTTCGGCATGGGTTGGGCCTTCAAGTACTCAGCGCTGACCAATTATTTCAAATGCGCCGCATGTGGGATTGCTGCAGTGAATCTTGCAGGTGAAAGCTCAACCCATAGGGCTCTGACGAGGGCAATTGCCACCATCAAATTCAAATGTTTTCCTTTCCCCTGCAACAGCAGATTTCTACTACCCACTGGAAGGGTCACTTCAGACAACCTTTCCCTTTCTAATTGTGCTTTGAGCTCGCCATTCTATTGTGCATTGCTGTTTGCATTACAAGTATTTGTGTACAGGTGTAACGATGAATCGGCGCCGGTCTCAGCACGCCGCTAGGTAGATGTCATTCATTTCCAAAATACTTGATATATATTTAATTTCTTATCACAAAAAAAGGTGAGATATAATGTTTGTGCAAAATGCAAACTTTCTCGGCATATCTAAGAAATTTGGAAGTGTTTCAACATAAGTTTAAAAACTAAGAAATTGTGCCAATTTCAAAGCTACCTTGTTAGTAATCGGATAGCTTCCGATTCGCTAAAATGCTATTTATGTGCTCACATAGTACATGACACAGATAGAAGAAAGAAAATTTTCCACGGAACAAATTCAAGGCTTAAACTTTTAATTTGCGCATTGATGAAGAAAAGCCTTTGAAATCTGGCCCCACCTAATCAATTATTGATCGCACAGTGGAATTACTTGAGTAGGAGTCGATCTCGCGGACTACGCATGCACCGTTAAAGGAATCTTCCGCGGAAAAAGCTCCGCCTCCATTACCCTAGAAAAACGATACCCCTTAGGCCCCTAGCCTCATGAGCATAGCAAAAAGAACGGAACATAAGCGTTAGTTTCGATAATACTAATCCTACACACAAGACAAAATGATCACTCTTTCCGTGGAAGATTCCTTCAAGGTATCGTTTTCTGTGGTAATGAGGGCGGAGCTTTTTCCGTGGAGATTTCCTTTAAAAGACCCCTACACCATTATCCCATACGCTGTCTCACGTACACAATCTTCTTATAGAATCACTTAGCGCATGTACACGGATAACTAAATATACCAACAGTAATGAGCGTGTTCAAGAAAGGAATGAAAGTGGACGAAAGCCATTGCTGGTGGATTTTCCTCTGGCGCTCTCATTTTCACCAGGAAAAACTTCCAGGAAAGTCGGAGGAGCCACTTCATGACCAGGACAGTATGAAGCTTCAGTTTTTGAGCTACTTTCCACCCATCTGTTTTTGGAAAGCGGAGGCTTATTGTTGAGGTTACCGTTGAGATTCGTCATGGTTGTTACCTCAGTGGATTGCTGCTCGTAATCATCATAACCCTCCATTAACCCACCTGGCATGCTTTCTGCAGCAAACGCCACTTGCCCGAAGGCTATCACCACAAGTGCGTATAGAAGCATCCCTAAATTTCAAAGTTATTGACACACTGGCTGAAACTGGTTAAGGGGAGAGTGCACGAGAAGCTATTGAGATCTATACAAGAGACTGCATTGGCTGATGTTTCTGGGACCGCTGGAGTCTTATATAGAGCAACGAGCAGAGAGTGAGGGAGCGTCGTGGGTAGATGTACTGTTCAAACGCACGTCAGATGTACTGTAATATTTGTTGAAAATGCAGCTGATTGCACAGGACTACCGCAACTGAAGCGCGTCACGATTCAGACGTCAATTCCAAGAACGACTCTTCATAGCTACTCAAATGTGTTGGACATGCGTTCACTTCCTGCCCAATTTCGAGCAAAAGTCGAAGACCTGGCGCGTATGAAGCGACCGATCAAAGGCTAGCTTCATTATATTTTTTCTTTCTCTTGATTAAAATTCATCATGGTTCATAGCGCTTCACTTTAAGCTTGTAAAGTCGCTTCCGTTGAAATTATCACGATCCACGGAGTTGAGCGCAGGGGTAGCCGTCCATGTAGGAAGTTCAAAGGTGAAGGGAGGAGGGAAAACGTACTTCTGATTCTTGTGTATTTGTAATTGTGAAAAGGGGGTCGTGGGTCACATTTCTAGATGCGTGATGGTAAAAGTGGAGAGGGGTCTGTTGTCTGGAGAGGCAGAAGGTCTCTCTTGTGAAGCTTTCTACAATTTTACACAAATTTTCGGCTCTTTACAAATACATGAAATGGGCGAAAGTTTCAGTAAACGTATATATTTGCTTCCTGCCGGCTTTGGAGGTTAGGAGGGGGGGGGACGGGCTGAATTGGAGTGTGTCACCTGATCTCAAAATCAAACACGGTACAAGCTGTCACCGTGTTGAAGATGGTGCGGGCAGGTGGGTCGTACTTTGAAACTCTCCTCCTGCACCACCCCAAGAACCATAACAAGGCTGGTGATGATGGCGATGAATCGAGGAGCGCCCTACGACCGCCCTAATGGAAAGGTGAGAAGTGAGGTCATGAAAAATTTTGAAATAGGCACAGGGGCGGTTAACCCAGGGTAAGCGCCTACCTACATAGGTCCACTCTAGTCAATTTGAAGTATGTTCTTTGCTTTCTCATTGTCTGTTTCATTTTCAGAAGTGTTTCTTCGCAGTAATCCTGAGCATATATAACACTTGATCTTTATGACAGTCCACTTAGGTCTGGGTTTTACACCTGGGGTTCGTATTTAGATTAAAGAGGTACCTACATTGGCGGCCCGGAATAACTACGGTTATCACTTCTTGTAGTGGTTCCAGATTTAATGTTGGAGTCGGTTTTTTCGAGTTTAAGAACACATACTAACCACATGAATAGGTTTGTATTCATTCTAATAGCGGTTGTTCGAAAGAATGTGGTTTCGAGTGCAGGATTTTCACGTATTTTTATATGAATAGTTTCATTTTGAGGTTTTGAACTATATATCATTGGCAAGCCTATTATAGCTTCTTTCTTTAGTGCACTTGTTTTTCAATATGGCTTGCTATTTCGGGATTTTTTATAGATTTGAAATAAAGGTGTCAAGACAGCGATTTTGGCAAGTTTACTTCGATGTGCTGAAACTTCTGAGGTAGTGCTTCGTAGACCAGTCGAAATAACACTGAAGGATGGGGCCAAGGAAGCACCAATAAAAGCACAGCACAACATCGGCTCCAACATTTTGGTCTCAATGAATTCCATCGTGAAGGTGAGGGGAGTCATGAGCATGATTTCACTGTTAACGACGGCCTTCTAAAGGTTCCCGTAGAAGATGGTTTCGGACCAACTGCACTATAGTTAGCAGTAGGACTGGGAGTAAGTATATTGAAAAGATTGTGTCTCATGAAGATAATTGGGGAGGTGAAAAAAAGCTGAACAGATGGCTACCGCATTGGCTACCCGATGCAGCAGCAAAACCGTATTCCTAAGGTGTCGTTTCCACCCATTTTACGTAACGAAAACAACGAATATTAGGAAAGCATTGTCATCTTAAAATGGAAAATGGACTGTTCACGAATATAGCAAGCCATCCCTTCACAAGCTGGACCGCGATGAATCCTCAAAAAGTCATCTAAAGGCGAAATTGTAGTAGGTCAATTGTTGAGTGAACATTCAGCGGTCTCCCCGCGGAGATGCTGATGCCACACCTGCTTGGACAGTGCGTGACTTTCACAAACCAGCTCTCCAGCGTACCGATGAGATGCTCTAGAAACACCAACTTCGTCAACAGAGAGAAATGAACCTCCTTCATAGGTGGGCGCTCAGCCACATGTCCCATAAACGACCTCGCAAAGATTGGACAAACTGGCATACGAAGCTTTGCTCAACACGTCGTACTCATTGGACCTCTCGCTCACCAATAACACTTTTTCCAACCATCCCGACAGCTTCTTGAGCGAGAAATACTTCAGTGTTCAAAGTGATCTGGAAACGACGTTCGATGATTTCTAGCCAAGCGCGTATTGTCACATGGGCGGGACAGTTGAGCGTGCATCTTGTTAAGAAAAATATATAGTTTTGAATAGTTTGTTGTTACGGTCGAAAATGTTGAATTGAGTAGAGATATGCTTCTTCAAAAAAGAAGGATCAAAACCCGCCATTTTTTTTGAAAGACCTAATATTATTCCTTTTTATCAACATGTTTACATTAATGAAGAGAAAATGAGAAATGAATTGGACGGATATTTTCGTAAGGCCCGGAAAACGTGAAGAATAAGTGGTCATTCCGTAAGCCACGTGGTCCTTGAGTGGTATGTGGTGTATGTTATGAATGAACGAAAAACTTAGGAAAAAATCGATCATGTTCCCAAAAAATAAATGTAACTGGTGTGGCACACATAGTTTGCCACAATGTCCATGGAGGTGCAAAGATGGGCGGCATCCATAGTTGCCGCGCCGTCGTCAATGTTTTAACACGTTGACGACAACGCGCGTTTTGGGCTTTTGCACCGCGTGGGACCACGGCGATTTTGCAGG